ATGATGACTGAGAAGGATTTACCTCTTGCAGAATTAAAGCAAATGAAAAAACGTCCACTTTTGTATCATAGTCTTCATTTTTGAAGACCTCAGGTGCCACATATCGGCCTACATCAATGACGATCAAAATGTTTCAGGTTTTCGAAATAAGATTTTGTTGAAATGCAGGATTAAGTACCCAAATATCAAGATACTGAAAATTTGACAGGTAAACCATAAATATGCCGTAAGGAATGGGGTTAATAAACTATAACTAGAGAAAGAACTCACAAGATGTCTCCTGACAGTTTAGAGGCCTCTCTTCTTTAACTGTGAGAAGCTTGCTAACTCCAAAATCTGCAACTTTTAGATGTCCTGAATCATCCCGCAAAATATTTCTGTCAGCAGCACAAAAGAACAGACCTGACAATATCAGAAATCAAAGATAGCAAATATATCTTCTACAGAAGCCTAAGCTAGCCTTGGAAAATATGCACAGAAAAAAATGCAGGGAAAATAAAATTTATAATCAAACAAGAAACTTACGAAGGCTCGAGATCACGATGAATTATTGGCACCGGCTTATTCTCATGCAAATAATTCATTCCCCTGTGAAATTTCTAAAGCAGATTAATGATCTTTAACATTCATTTTGAAGGCTACTCAACAGGCAGCATTAGGTGTGCAACAATGACAACATGCTTTAGTTGTTTTATTATTTCATATCAACAAATGATGGAAATTTTTCATTGTTGTACTTCTGTAAATTAATCAAATTCATCAAAATGGGGACATACCTAGCAATATCAAGAGCAAATGTCAGAGCTGTAATTGGTTTCAATGCTCCTTTTCTTTTCAAGTATTCACATAAATCACCCTACATTTAAGAGCAACAATCAATTCAGGGTTTGACCTAGTTATTTGAAGATATGTTTAAAGACAAAAACAGTTATATTAGTCAAATCCAGTTTTACCATCCATAAAAAATGAAAATGAAAATAAAAGAATTTTAACTTTTAAAGTGTCTAACTTAAAACTAATTGGTATTTTGAGCATCCAAACTAAAACCAAAACCAATTGGTTGTAAGTGGAGAGGCCATATTGTATTTAAGTCCATAGGTTTCCCACAATTTCCACAATGTGAGATTTTCCCACTTAACAGGTAATAGCAGGCGGAAAGGCCTAATTTGAATATAAGGAAATAACAAATCCAAAATAAATTGATAATTTCTTTTTTCTTTTTTTATCAGCATAAATTGATAATAAGTAGCATCCCACATGACACAATTAACACATTGCTGGAACTAATTAAACAGCAATGTTAAGGCTAACAAAAAACAAAAAAAAGTGGTAATGGATAAAAAAATTGAGGAAAGATGGCATCGTTATAGTTGATTACTATCAACAGGTAAAATAAAAAGAAAAACCACATTGAAGTGAAAGCATATGAAATTAAATGCATCATAACCAAAACCAGAACAAAGAGGAATAATCTTCAGATATAAGGTGTTAATGTTATGTCAGAAAATATGATGATGGAGGAAAACCTTGGGTAGATATTCTGTCACAATCATCATAGGACTACTTTGAGTTACTGCACCAAGGAATTGGACTACATTTGGGTGCCGTATCTTCTGAAGCAATGCAAGTTCATCCCGGAATGCCCTCCTGCAAAAGACCAAACAATTTGTGAATCAAAATGTCCAAGGAAGAATGATATGTCAATCCCCAGCCACAGAAAATCAAAAAGAAAAGGAAAATATGCTTTGACTCACACTTTATTTTCATCAGAGATCACTTCGTCTCCAAGTGTTTTCACGGCAACTTCTATTCCACGCCATGATGCCATACGGAAGGTTCCCTGTGATTAGCATTAAGGGATTGACTTAGAACAACAGCCTAGAGAAAACTATAACAGAAGAAAGTGTGACCAAATCCATGATAGCAGAAAATTTCAGCTATAACAGATATATAAATCAAATAAGAGGTGGCAAGCTCTGCTGGATCCTTAAAAGGTTGCTTGAATGATGGAAAGTGTTACTGAAGCATTAGTGGCATTTCAACTATAACAGACATACAATTCAAATTACATGCGGAAAGCAGTGCTGGATCCTTAAGGTTGCTCAAATGATGGAAATATCAGTCCAAGCCCCATATGAAATTTAGAGAAGTCCATCATGACATTAACTTATCTCTAAGTCATGTCATCTGCTTCAAAATGGCAACATGAAGCAAAAATAACTCTGTATCCACTAGGATTTCAATTTAATTATCAAAGGAGAATATTATGGAAACAGAACCTAAATCTCACCAAATATCTTCTTTAAGAAAGCTTTGCCTCTTGAACCAAATGTGTTTTGATATTTACATTCTTCTTTTTATGACTTAATAGCACAAAAGAATAGGACATCCGTTTCTCAATAACGCTAGAATCCTCACATCTTGTCTGGCATAACCAACCACCATACATTCATAAAGTCCCATCTGTCATCAACAATGTAAATTCAGCTAATTTTGCGCTTGTGCCACCCTTAGTTGCATAATCTACCAATCAAACTGCTATGATCAATATCCTCTTCCAAATTCCAATCCTACCCAAAAACCAGCCCAACTTAGTGTCTTAAGACCTTGAGCTACAAGACTAGGTGCTATATTCTTTCAAAAACCCTCAAGACAGACTACATGCGCTTTCCTGTGTTCATAAATTGTTTGATGGCTTAAGTTAAAGGACTTCCCTTGTAGCTCTTTATAAGCTTCCTTTTCTCTAAAGAATTGCCCAGATCTTCTTGTCTGATTAAGATATCTTACTAGTTAGTTCTTCATGAATTCTGCTTTATACAAAATTCTTCCTCCTGATCAGAAAAGGTTATCCCTACCTATCAGAAAAGGTTATCCCTACCTAATACTACAGAATTTTTCAGTCTACCAAGAAAATCAAATTAAAAGCTTTTATAACCCTTCAACATACTCAAATGACCCTTTATGTTTGTGCTAATACATCTCTTGATTATTAAAGCACATAACTTGTACAATACACGTGGGATGAAGTCAAAGAAGTGTGCAAAACACATCCTTTTTGTAAGGTTAGTAAACTAGATAGAACTATGTTAGCTAGAACTAATAACACAAACTGTAAGACTTCACAAATCATTACCACTATCCAATATCTAGGAAAAAGTTCATCATAAATTTATAATGCAGAACACCAGTTGCAAAACAGTGTTAATTTCAAGAGGAATTGACATTGAATTACCTTAGTTATGTCAACACTATTGGTGAAATCGAGTTCCTTTGCATCAATTTCATATTCCGGGACTTCGCGAGCATGATTTACATGCATTGGAGCCATCTAGGTTTTTGAAAAGAATATACAAAATCCAAGCCAAGATTAGCTTGCACTCAAATTGCAATTCGAAACTGCATAAGCAATACAAGTCTGAGACATACCGGAGGCTTGGCACCATGTTTTTCCAAAAGCTTGATTACATCCTGGTGCTTATAGCATATAGCATCCGCAAGAGGCTGTTTAAGCAACATCAGGTGGTAAAACGAGCTCAGAAATCAGAAAAATGGTAGGAATCCGGGGGGAGTAAGAGCAGAGATCTTACAGTGCTTCCCCAACGATCCTTGGAGTCTACCAGCGCGCCACGTTGAAGTAGCAAGGAAACGACGTCGGTGAGGCCTTGGCAGGCGGCGATATGGAGAGCCGTCCGATCATCGATGTCACGGAAATTGACGTCGATTCCGGAGTCTAAGAGCTCGCGAATGCCATCAAGATCGCCTTCGTTGGCCAGGTACATCAACCTCACTCCTCTGTCTATCTCCTCCCCCTCTCCTTCCTCCTCTCTCACCTCCAGCTCCTCCTCGTTCCTTTCCGGCGCCAGCGACGATTGCTTCCCTAACGTAAACCTCACCGCTGCTTTACTTTCCATTTTTTAAGAAAAATCAAAATGCACTAAACCTCTAATCTGAGAAGAAGAAGAAATAGCGAAGCGGTTGCCGGTGTTGAAGTATCAGTGGAACGTTGACGATTTTCTTTGAATAGTCAGGGGAAGATATCCGGCACACGCGTCAGGAGCGCGTGGGAGAAAATTCCGCGCAAGTGGTGGCCGCCGGCCGGTGGAGTACAGACAAGGAAAGTGGAGGCTGAGTAAGAAACGCCTTCTTAGAACGCTGCCGTTTAAACAGTGAGTATTGTCGGCCTTTACACCGAACAAGAATATGAACCGTTGATGTGACTGAATTTGGTCTGCTCTGTGGGCCACAGCGAAACGAGATGCGTCGATGTGTTTAAAGCATACTGTATTTACTTTGCGTGGAAATGTGATCATACGATGTCGTTTGTTATTATTTTTTCGGTAATCGTTTGGTGATAAATTACTCCTACGAATTTATGATATGATTGTCACGGCTTGTTAACTACTCTCTTTGACAATAATTACTATTTTTTATTATAAATTTATTTTAATTTTATTATTATTTATTTATTTTAATTAATTATTTTATCTACAAAATTTAATTTAATTTAATTTTTTTAATTTTTTAAAAAAAATATAAATAAATATATGAATTATTTTTAAATTTTTAATTAAAAAATAAAAAAATAAAATTATTTTAAAATAAAAAATATATAAATAATTTAATAATAATTTTTTAATAAAAATAAAAAATTTTAAATGTAAATTACATAAAATTTATATAAAACAAATTAAAAAATAAAAAATTTTAATATTTTCTCATGTAATCGTATTGACAGTTATACTTTTCTAAATTAAAAAGCAAGCGACACATGCTTTAATCTGCAGGTTGAGTTCTTAATTTGATTTTTTTCAAGTAGATATTAATTTAATATTATATTTTTTTAAAAAAATAAAATAAAATAAATAAATAATTTTATTATATAATTTAAAATAATAATAATAATAATAATAATTGTTATGCTTAAGTAGCGCTCGTGACCGGTGTTTAATGGTAACAAAAAAAAGGCGGTAACGATTAACGGAAGACTATTGTTCCCGCGTAATTAGGGAAATGGTTGTTTTTTTGGGTAAAGAGGGAGATGGTTGTTGAATTTGATACAACCTTTTATGCTTACTCAAAAATTATGTAACTAGCATTGGAACTATAATGTCATCGATGTTTATTATTTTAATGTGGCATAGTAATAACCTAGCTCTTAGTTGGGTGAAATACGTCCATTGTCAACCGACAAGGCAAATCATTTGACTTGCTATTTGATTAGGCATCACATATACACGCAATGGTGAATGCATTAAAGGATAAGATTTTGACTTTGGCTAGAGATAAGCCTGCGTCATTCACGATCGGGAATTAAGGCTCTAATAAATTTTACTTAAAATTTTGGACTGCATTAATATTCAACCCTTTTCTTACTTATATATGAATTGAGGGAACTCTACCATGCGATTTATTGGTTGGGTTACGTTTTTTAATAAAAAAAGTAATAGTGTTCATCTTTGTATAAGAATCAAATATTCAGTTTCTAATAATTAATTAATTTAACTTACTAATCAGGAAAATAAAAGAGAAAGAAAAAGCAAAGAGAACAGAGAAATTTTATTTTTTTATATTTAAATAAATTAATTAATTAAAAAATAAAATAAAATAATTTTTTTTCTCTTTCTTTATTTAATTTTTTTAATAACCAAATAAAAAAATTTTTCTCTTCCTCCCTATTCTCGTAAACTCAAACAACTGTAAGCATGGGAAAAATTGTTGTGATTTTGAATTCCTTCAACCTATTCATCAATTTAAACCTGAATATAAATAGAAAACTACAGTATTTGTCTTTGCAACTATAATATAGCCCGACTATATTTTTTTTTTTAGTAAAGCCCCACTTTTATCTCTATGTATTTCTTTACTTTTAAAATAACTATTTTGATTTTGA